GATTTTAATGCGTATTTAATGTCGATATTAATTGGTTTGTAGTTCTTAGAGATCACATACAATATTTACACAATAACTATTTACGCCAGTTCATTCTCATGCCTCACGAGGCGGAGACGGTGATATTAGAAATTGTTAGGATTGATTAGTCTTTAATCTTTACAGGCAGACAATTTAAAAACCAGTCACGTTAAAAATCAGTTATGCCTAATAAGATTTAGCTATTCATTTAACGATTAGGTAATTTGACAGAGACCAAAAGATCCCCAGTTGATATTAAGAATATTAATAATTTTTACTAAAATAAAAAATGACTATTCAAAAATTATTATAATTAAGTGTAAACATTTAGTCATTTTGCCTCTACCGGAATTATATGTAATTTTTATTATTCTAAATGCAATTTCAGCTAAAAAGAACGGATAAGAAACTTTACTGTCGTTTTTTTAAAAACAAATTAATTTTTCAATTATAAATTTATGTTAATTTATTTGTACCTGACTTTATGAGTTTTTATAATAATTCCTCTTATCTCGCTTTTTATGTATATCTGTATCTGTTATAATTTATGTGCTGTAAGTAATGCAAATAAATTATCTATCTATTTTAATATAGATTACCAAACAATATAAGCACAAGAGTTATTTAGATTTGTAATTAAATCAAATCTATTATATCAATTTGAAATTCAACATGGAAACAAATGAAAATACGCGATGTGATAAAAGAAAGAAAAAAGATTAATTCATCATAATTTTACTTCCATAAACAAAAACATTAATTAACTTTGCAATGAATTGGTAATACTTATAGAAGAAAATAAAAAGTCCCGCAATGGAACGCAGCAAACGAGCGAATTCGTTGCACGTAGACTCGTGCCGCTCGTTTCCTGGCCCGAATGGTAATATGGGTCGAGTTTACACAAATCCGCTTGGAAATTGCGAACTTGCCAATGAAGGCTGAGTAACAATAGAACGGATTGTCTATTGTTATATTCATAGTCGCTTGACAATATCATGTTCGAGGATATTAATCGATTTTATAGGAGACAGGGCGTACACTGGATTCATGAAACTTAACCTGCCCACTGAAATACACACAAAAGCTGTCAAACATTTTCCAATAAACATAAATACTTTGAGGTTTAATAAAATTTCAATTGTCTATAATAGACCGATGATTTACCTGAGTGAGGTTTATAAGCAGCCAATATGAGATTCAATGAAATACTGCAGTGAAATTAGTGAGTATTAGCATATGAAATGTAGCACTTGTCGCAAATGCTTGCTCGTCTGTAACACGCGACCACGTAATCCCTAATATTGTAAATAAAATCGTACATTTATTAATACTTATTTGTGCTAATATTGCTTCCGTATATAAGTTGTGACGGTCCGGTGAATTCATTTTATAGCTACTTTCGAAAAAATTTTCTCTCACTTTTTAGTACATTTTCATTTTTTTTTTCTTTTGTTATTGTTATGGTTTATTTCCGTGTTCATCATCATCATGATATCAGCGGTTAACTGTCCACTGTTAAACATAGGCCTCCATCATACGAGAAGGTTTGCCAGTAGTTGCCACGTTTGGCAAGCGAGTTGGCAAACGCAGTTAAGCTTTGATAATGTTTTAAGAGGGATGCTGCTGCCCATTCTTCGACCACTGCGTTTCCTTAGTCGCCTTTTAATATTGTAATGACAGAAGCTACTGTTTTTTTGTATATCACATTACTACTTATTACGAAATATAATTTACTTGTACGAAATAATAAAATACGAAATATAATACAATTCCACATTCAAATATTGACAATGTGACGCACCGCGTCGTTCATCGTTGTGGACGTGAGTGAAAAGAATAAGATCGAGTTTTGTTCAAATAAACTTTTGATCCTTCTTTAACCGCTATAAAACTTCGTTAAAAAAATGCCGCGTGACGTCTTTTCATTTTTATTCTTTGCGAATCTCCAACTGTATTGACGAACAAACAAACAAAGCCTTCAAACTTATTATGACGCGCCGCGCTTTATCGTCGTGTAAGAACGACTTTTATAAACATCAAAGGCGACCTCATTAACGTCGCGCAGATAATGAAATAAGATTTTATTATAGCGATTCATTGTAGCGAGGCGCGAGCGGGATATTAAAAATGCCATTATGATAATAATAGTTCATTCAAGGTTTTATCTCCGGTTTCATGGAGCAATCCGGTTTGCAATTTCCGCCGCTTTGCTGCGGCCGCGATGAATTGAGCACTGCGTCCACGCCGCCGCCGCCGCCGCCGCCGCCGCCGCCGCCGCCGCCGCCTCCTGCTCCGCTCGTAGCTCCTACGCTGCCACGCACCACGCGCCAACATTTCGAAACACCTGTGGCATAAAATATTTTATACCCATCCACAGCTTCTACAAAAGATAGCTATAGAGACGATAACTTCACAAGAAACAAATTTCAGTATTGACATTTTTTTAATGGAGTGGGCCCTACATGTAAAGAATTAGTTCAAAATTTGAATAGATGTAGCAAAAGATATCGCACAGACTGTGCTGTGATGTCGAGGGTTGGTTACCATTTTTCATTAGATGAGTCGCACTTTATTTGCCACTCCACGTTCTATAAAAAAAGATAATGACTTTGAAGGAGAACATCCTGAGCTATGTTATCAATTCGCAACATTTTGCCGCTTTTAAGTACAATTTATCTGTTCGTGATGCTGAGTTGCACCTACCGAATTACTCATATTTAAAGGCTAAAGAATCGTTTTTAGCTTAGCTAACTAGCTTTTAAACAAATAACCGTATACTTAAATATTATATTATTTTCCTTGAAGGCGAGCAATACAATTACGTTTATGTATATCTTAGAGAGCGTTTACTGCTCCGCTTGCACGGATAAGATAGCTTATTTTGAGAAGATACCTACCTCGTCGCAGGGTTCCCAATAGTAAATGTTGGCACTCTTGTTTATGCAAACTCCAGTAACTTTGCATCAAGTCTAATAAAATTGTACCTATTGCTTATAAAACTTTAAACTTTTGAGGTCGTCACTCCATCTAGTGGGAGGTCGTACTACACTGCATTTGCCTGTACGGAGTCGTCACTCAAGAACCAAAAGAAGAGAAGGACTTTTTTAGTTTGCATGAAATTCTCACGTGTCGTTTATATATAAAAAGCAATCATCATTGCATACATATATTAGGTATTCGAAACTAGCAGCAGCTACGTTAAAACATGCAGAAAACATAATATTTATTAGAGGAAATACTTTGTTGTTGAATCTTACTTGTTAGGATCACCTTGATCCTACACTCATAATGTGAGGTTGTAGCCCCGGTATTTACCATCGTTAACTCGCTGATACCAACTGTCTATATGCACGTCTATTTTACATTACAGTTAGCTAATCGATGATGTTTTTCCATCAGTTCAATCTATTTTGAATAGAAAATAATTAAGCATGGTATTTCTTATTGTACAGAATGCCATCAAAAAACAAAATGTTTTAATATAATATAGACTTTATGAGAGCCACGGTCAGAATATTCAAATAGTAGTTTCTAGTTTTGTTCGTAATTATAAATAAAATTATCTACACGTAGTATTATGTTACTTTATATTCGAATTAAATGTCAGATGCGAGCAGCCGGCGGGCTGTGTGTGGGCGTCGGCCGCACACAGCCGCCGCGCCACGCCACGCCAGTTATTGTCGTGTATTTGCGCTAAGCTCTCCCGAAGGCATATTCACGGCGCTGCTGTTTACTGGCTGACGGCACATTTCTATGATAGAGGGGCCTTGTTTAATGTGCTTTTCAGTTTATAGCCGCCTGCGTTAATTGTATCTTGTGGCTGGAATGAGACACGGCGGGAGATAAAGCCTTCTCGAACTTCTCAAAATAACGAGCTGTACCCAGCGTACTCTGTTTACCAACTTGTTCCAGACGTGTTTATTTATTTACTATTTTTATTTATTTGCATTTACAGTTTCATTGTTTTACTAAAGGACGCAATCTTAACTCATTTAATGTCTTACTATATAATCGATTAGCTGTGAATACAAAATTTGTCGGGGCCCAAATACTTGTATTTGATCTTCATATAGCCTCACAGGGGCATTTATAATATTCGCACCCGACACCTTTTGGCTGGTTGTTTTTAATATTATCAATGCCAAGTAATTTGTTTCCACACATTTGTATTGCCAGTTTCAAAGACAAGAACCGTATTAGGTTTTATTACGGTCGTAAACTTGACATCTAATCATATTGATTTATCTCTAGAGGCTGTTATTGCTAGGGTAACGACAACGACTCCCAAGACACATGTGTATCATTACAGTGTTGATTGATATCACCACATGGTGAGGATTAATCAGATAAGTGCATGTATGTTTTCGAAAATATATTATTATCTTACCAATTGATGGGATGGATGAAATGGGATGAATGTGGGAGATGGTAGTGAAATTACTGAGTGCGGAGGCATAACATCTTAGTTCTCAGGAATGGCATCGCGTACCCATGGTGCTCGTGAGCAATGCAACGTATTTTGCGATGGCCGTGGTGCTGTCAAGTCTGTATGCGACGATTGTCAGATTCCATCACGTGGGCAGTCAGCTTGTTCAACATTCTGAGTTGCTAATTCTATTGTGTTTAATGTTATAAATGTAAATTATTATATAAGATGTCTCTGTATATTTATTGCTCGACCACACTTAAACTTTTTTAATAGATAGTACGATAGAATATTTTATTAAAAAATATAATTGAATGAATTGTGAGTAAGGATACCTACCGCTGGACCGATTTATATTATCAAGTTAGTTATACAACAAAAGTCTATTTGGTTGACAATGTTTACATAAAACTCAAAGATGCTATTAGTGATATTATCATATTAAGTATATAAAAAATAAATTAATTTTGATTATCACTGTTTGCTAGCAATATGTGTATGTAAATGATAATATGTGTATGTATGTGTGTGTGTGTGTGCATGTGGTGTGCAGAGTACGGACGGTGTCGGGACAGCGACTCGGAGTCGAGCGGCTCGCCGTGCGCCGCGTGCGCAGCCGAGCTGTACCGGCTGCCCGCCGCGCACCTCTCCGGTGAGTTGCACGTGCACAATCAACATTTAAAATGAGAAGAAAAGGTAGCGGCCGTGTATAGGAGAACACAATGAACGACGATCGCGTTCTCTGATATGTTGATTGCCTGTCAGACACACTGCCCGCGGTGGAGTCGAGCGCGGACGACACGTCGTACAGCGCCGGCAGCCGCGCCCGCTCGCAGGCGCCGCGCGCCGAGCGGCCGGAGCGCGGCGCGCGGCACGCGGCGCGCGGCCGCCGCCGCAGGGACCACACCCGCCACTCCGCACCCACTGTCAGGTACCACCACTACTGCCGCCACTCACTCGCCACCACTCGTCCACCACTGCAGCAGCGACATTACTGGGTACTGTCCTTATGTAACTAAAGTCGGCAACGCAGACCAGAGGGAGGCTTTGTACAAAAGTCGTTTGCTTGGACACCTCTGTTCTATTCGCGTTTATACCGTGAACCAGTTATGTTTGCATGGCTGTGTTTCGGTTTGAATGGTGGGATATGGCAGTTAACTTACAAGGTACAGAGGAATAATATCTGAGTCCTCAGGAACGGCAACGCATGGGGTTATTATGGGCGAAACAATTTACTCTGTTATGTCCATGCTGCTTCCGCTCATGTCTATAGGCGACGGTTACCATTTTCCATCAAGTGGGCCATCAGTTGTTTGCCATTCTAAGTTGCATAAAAAAAATGCGCGGGCAACACCTCCGTACAGCAGTAGCCGCTTACCATCAAGCAAATCGAATGCTTCATTATTTACGACACAAATATAATTGATGACATCTACAGCCGAATCAATGTAAGTATTTATTTAAAAAAAAAATGTACAAATAAAATAGCATTTATTTATTGGACGGCCAGTGATCGTTCGCGCCAGTGGCACATACTTACACAGAACATCGAAGTGTTCATCGATAATATTAGCTACAGTATTCGCAAGCCCTCGGTGAAGGTTTAATTTGGAGCCAATACAAACACAGGCCTCGGAGCTAGACCCTTGTCGTCCGAACTTCTCAGTACTTAAGGGCCGCTTGATTGGGTACGTACGTGACCAGCAACTGAACTGAACACTACTCACCGAAAGTTCTCCGCCGCCGCGCTTACCTCAGATTGTTGTATCATATTTACTGGACAAGGACAAATTGAAACCGTCTGCCCATTAAATCCATGTACTATACCGATTATATTGTACTTGGTAAATAGAAACTGTCAAAAAGAGAAACAGACCTGTCGATTTACAATCACATTCACGTGATTATGGATTACATTTATATAACCAGTTGTTTTTTTCTTTTGATAAAGCCACCGTTTCTAAGAGGACGATGTAGTAGCCAGGAGCGCTCTTCTCGGTAATATATTAGTGAGGCCCAGAAATAGAGTCCCATACTACCATACTCCAAGCATGGCTTCAGCGCTTCTAATTGCAGCCTCGATGCACGAGGAAAGACCGGGTGCGCCCAGTAGTGGCCGGTGCACCAGTGCATGGACATCTAGTGTGCATGCCAATGAGAGCGGCGTATTACTCATATAAACTGCGACAATTTAATTGTTAATTTTTCTGTAAGCCTTGTCAACTGAGAAGGTATGCTATGTCCCGCTCCGCATGCTCGCTGACGTGGATGGCAGTAAGTAGGTCTGCGTAGTGTGTCCGAGGACGAGGTTGCACTCGACTGACGGATGTGTTCGCATTGCAGGTACTACCCGCCGGCGGCGCTGCACGCTCGCCACGAGCCGCTGTGAGCTCTCCGTCTAGCCTAATGAATAAAAATCATGTGTACATAATATGTTGGAACTTTGTAAGCAATCCCATGTTGCTCCCATGTGACTGAACTAATCTTATATATTAAATAATTGAGTTTTCATCCGTTGTTTTATTCAGTGCGAACAGCCGCGCTGAAGGGTATACGCAACCGTCGTAAAATCTGAGGCCCAGTGCGGTTCACGATTCTCGTCGTTAAATCGCATAATAAACTCATTTTTCATAAATAAATCACCCTCAGGATTCGGGAAAACATGCGAAATGAAGAATAGGTTTCTTTCATTTAAATTTAATATTCCAGTATTTTGTTGTTTCAAATATCTGGATATTACTTCAAAATAAGATGAAGCAACTCATATACTTTACACTGGCACTGGTTGTTATGGCGTGTAATGTGCATGAAGTAGGCTGGACAGCATCCGCCCTGCAGCGTGTTGCACCTACACCATTATTGCGCATTGCACTCCAGATCAGTGGAACGTCCCTAATTAGGTCATTGTGATACCATTCCAATAATTCTATCGATTCCATGAGCATACAGTCCAGTGATTTCCTTAATTGGATTACATTGTTTCATTATCCACATTGTACGTAGAATCGTCGATGGACGTTATTCAAATTATTAATTAAATAATTCCTTCGCTAATGTCCACTAATAAGCTTTAATTTTGGGAATAACTGAGCGTTAATAAAACCACATGTATACATTATATGGCTAAGATATACCTTGTTATTTCAGTGGACGAATTTAATGATATTGTATTCTAGTTATGATTCCAATAACACAAACAATTTATTTCATTTCTCTCGTCTTCTCGTCTGTATCCTCTCGATATTATTAGTAGGTTATGACCTATGCCCTAAACCTAATAAATATTACGTAAGCAAGCGCTGTATAATAGTTTAACATTATTGTGAGTGATTATTGCATTTCTGTATAGTGAAGAAGTACAAACATACTCTTAGACCTCTCCACTTTACTCGTTCTTAGTTTAGAACACCAGTGATTGTTATGTTTTTTTTCTATAGATGAAAATGGAATAGTACCTCCACCTGCACTAGTAGATTACGCCGGCTTGGTACCGACGAGGGATGGTCAATGAAGAAGAGGTTGAGCCTGTTGCCCATTCGCAACGAATTAATAATATGGCTGCTAATCTCCGTTACTAACAATTCCTTACCTCCCTGTACATTATATCCTTACTTAATATTACAAATGTAACATGGAATTTTTTTTATCTGTCACCTTATAGCGCCTTAACGACCAATCATTATGAAATTTGGTACAAACTTAGTATATAGGGGTTGGACAAGAATATGAGCTCTTTTTATGTAGACGAAGACACGTTAAAAGCTATTTAGACGATCAGTATAGACTGATAATGGTTTATTTTATAAATCGGCGTATATTTCATGCCCACCTCAGAATTGTCTGGTGCCCACCCCAAGATGTTAACAGAACTTTTGACTATGCGTACTGCTCATGTTTATAGGCGACGGTTACCATTTTCCATCAGGTGGGCCGTAAGCTTGTTTGCCATTATAAGTTGTATAAAAAAAATGTGTAAAGGCATATCTGAGAGTACATATTATGCTTATTTAAAGAGACACTCTCTCCTCCTTCCCCAGCCTCGACGTAAAACTTTTTTTTTTATTTTCTTTTTTTTTTTAAATACACAAAGATTTCATATCAACTCTAACTATATATATCAATCGATTCATAGGCAATTTTTTTAATACTAATTAATTTATTACTGCATTAGATTAAGCACAAAAGACTATCGTTCATTATATTTCTATACCACACCAGCATAATAAATAAGAATTGATTTATCATAACCAGAGTTGGTCAGCAAATGAAACTTACACTGACCGTTCACAGGCGGCGGCGGTGGTGACGGCGGCGAGGGGTGCGCGGGGTGCGCGGGGTGCGCGGCCGGGACGCGGCGCGGCCGAGCTCGGCATATAAATTGCCACCAGTTGGGGAAATTCCTGTACCTTTTTCCTCGTTGCGGCAGTTGTTTAACTCTCCAAATTAATTCCCTAGATCGCTGATCACTATACGCGTGAACCGGGAGACTCGGCTCGGCTCGACTCGAGTGCCAATGAGTGTACGTTGCTACACGTCACCTGTTTCTGCCTAACGTATACTAACACGTTACCCAAACACACGCCACCTCTGATAAGGCTACGTTTTTCGGTATAATCCGAAAACATTTAGCAAGACGAATTTATTTTTAAACTCACTTTAGAAATTATCAAAATTTTTGTTTATTTCTTTATTTTTGTGTGTGTTACACGCAAGTTTATGAGATTTTCTTACTAATTCTGTGTAAACCCATTTCGATAATTACTTTAGGTGTTATATTATTTGTATTAATTAGAATAAAATCCAACCTACATAGCTTTATTGAAATTTTACACATATTTATATAATTAGTTACTACGTATAGCTTGCAGCAGCGTCGCTAAGGCTACTTACAAAATTAATATTTGTTTACATATTCATAGTAATAACTAAATTATTCAAGTGTCTCTGATGCAAATTATAACGAATGGTAAATAGATGGAAATTTAGGTAAACACTTGTCAAAGCTGACACCGACAGATATAAACGACACTGTCTTTGTTTATTCTCGTGGAAATAATCAAGCATTCAATTAAATAACTAGCGGAACTTCTTAGTAGAAAGTGGATAGAAGATAACAAGGCGTACCAACCATAACGACTGTCTAGTGTCTGTCTCAACAAAGTAGTTACGCATCTCTTTAAATTCTTTCTAGTTTTATTTCACTTGCGCCGCTGAACTGGACTTTGTTCCACTTCATCATTAGGCACGTATTCTTCAAGTTATCATATTTTAACAAAAATTGCTCTCAAGAGCCATATACCTCCATCGACTCCCTGCAACATACTTGAGGTTGTAACTTCAGTTGATGATACCACCACTATGTTCACACACACAAACATAGGTCTCCTCCATATTGCGCCACAAAGTACGATCCTGCAACACTTATACTCAGGGACTCCTTACTACACTCCTGACATCATCATCTCGCGGGGATCTCCATCTTCATCTGCGCTACACACTGCGCTCACCTGCCGTACAAGAATCGATCTTTCTTCCCCATCGGTTATTGGTAACTCGACTTCATTATTACTAACACATTTTATTCAACATTTATAACAAAATCATTACGTAATTACCCTTCGCTTGTCGAGTCGTTTGTGAGTGACACCATTTCACCATCAATGTTAGTGCATGCATAATTGTTCGTGAGTTTGCCTGTAGTACTGGCACGGCTTGGGACAGGTCGTAGACGTCTACAACGTCTACAGGCTGAACGTCAACATGTTTACAATTCAAAAAAATATTTAGTGCTACTTTGGCAGTCGAAGTATTCTCGTAGCAGATGCTACGGAAATGTGCTACGCACGCTACACATGGATAGCGAAGCGTATTCAATGTAGCGCAGAATGCTACACATAATTATTTATAAATGTAATACGTTACGTCGTAGTGCATCGTAGCGTAGTATAGTAAAATTATAATATAACAGTACGCCATGTACCCTTTGCCCTTTTTCTCAGTGTACTCTATCCAAATGTTGTCTGGAAAAGATTGCTTAGCGATAAGACTGCCTTTTGTGTTCGTTGACGCTCTCCCACATAAAAAAACATATACCGTTTTCTATTATCGTGTATGATTAAGCAATTTAGGCGTCAAAAGACAACATTCAAACTCACTTTGAAATATGTAACATAAGTAAGAACGATATAATAAAATAATTATTACACTTTGAAATCTTGGCAAACATTTGAATGCTTCGCTTACTTTCACTGAGGTGTTTATCAAACTCCTCTCGTACTCAGTGTCAGTGGCCACTAGTGCTGAATCGTCGTGGGCCTGATTCATACTCGTACTAACATGTAATCTTGACTGCTGCACTAAGAATATTATTGAACAAATAACACAGTACGTGCTGTTTAAGAGGAAAATAAAATTATTATTATTATTCATCCTCCTGTCCTTATCCCCATTATTTCGAGTCGGCCCAATATGGTTTTATTCATATTACACAAAGCTTCGGCCTTGTTTCGGCTTTTGTTTTTATGACCGGCCATCTGTATGACGTCAACTCTTCTCGACTATAATATTTGTATTTTTTTTTTTTTTTAATTCAACAATAAGAAAAAACATAGCAAACTAACACCCGACAGAAGCACAGTCGTCTAGAGTTCTAGGCCTCAGGGAGAGAACCCGGCGTATCTAAGAACACCGCTTTCTACATCTTTCCTGGATGAGTGCTGCCTCGCGCCCGGCCCTCTGTGGTGTTGTTGATATTATAATTTGTTACACATATTTTTGAATCCTCCCGACTTACCGTCGGCCGGTGCATGTTCCCGTGTGCTCCTGAATAATATTGGTGGATGTTCAGTAATAGCCCGGAATGTATCAAGGGCCGGCCGCGCGGCGCGTCGCGTCGTGCCGAGCGGCGCCCGCGCTACCGACGCGCCCTAATTTTTTGTGCATAATTAAATCGGCAAGGGTTCGACGGGCTCATTCATTTTTAAATTCGTAAAAGCATTTCAATGGAGCGTGTGCCAGATACGTCGCCTTTGAAGTGGGGTATCAGTTTTCGCCGGATTTAGATTTCGCCTTTGTGCGTATGTCATCACTCGAGAGAACACTCCGCTCTCGACAAATGGGAGTGGACACTTTTTAATTTTATATTGTAATATATTTTTTATTTATTTTCACATAAAAAATACAATTAAAGTAACAGCATATGTGCGCGAGTGGCGTGTGTGTAATTGTGTGATTGTGTATGTATGTGTGTGTGCGTATGTGAAATCGATGTTTTTTTAGAAATAAAATGTTAAATTATCATAATAACAATTGTGATATACGTAGCAAAAGGGTCATGGTCGGACAGCACGTGATGCGACTGCTGGCCGCAGTCATTAGTCCCGTGTCCCGTGTCCCGTGTTCCGGGTGCCGGGCCCCGTGTCCGGGCTCCGGACAGGCGGA